GGTCACAGTCGGGGGATGGAGGGGTCACAGTCAAGGGTCAGAGCACTGGGGGTGCTGGGGATGGGGGTCACAGTCAGGGGGATGGAGGGGTCACAGTCAAGGGTCAGAGCACTGGGGGTGCTGGGGATGCAGGGGTCAGAGCACTGGGGGTGCGGGGATGGGGAGTCACAATCAGGGCGGGTGGAGGAGTCACAGTCAAGGGTCAGAGCACTGGGGATGCTGGGGATGGGGGGTCACAGTCAGGGGGATGGAGGGGTCACAGTCAGGGGTCAGAGCACTGGGGGTGCTGGGGATGGGGAGTCACAGTCAGGCGAGATGGAGGGGTCACAGTCAAGGATCAGAGCACTGGGGGTGCTGGGGATGCAGGGGTCAGAACACTGGGGGTGCTGGGGATGGGGAGTCACAGTCAGGCGAGATGGAGGGGTCACAGTCAGGGGGATGGAGGGGTCACAGTCAGGGGTCAGAGCACTGGGGGTGCTGGGGATGGGGAGTCACAGTCAGGGGAGATGGAGGGGTCACAGTCAAGGGTCAGAGCACTGGGGGTGCTGGGGATGCAGGGGTCAGAACACTGGGGGTGCTGGGGATGGGGAGTCACAGTCAGGCGAGATGGAGGGGTCACAGTCAGGGGGATGGAGGGGTTACAGTCAAGGGTCAGAGCACTGGGGGTGCTGGGGATGCAGGGGTCAGAGCACTGGGGGTGGGGGGATGGGGAGTCACAGTCAAGGGGGATGGAGGAGTCACAGTCAAAGGTCAAAGCACTGGGGGTGGGGGGATGGGGAGTCACAATCAGGGCGGGTGGAGGAGTCACAGTCAGGGGTCAGAGCACTGGGGGTGCTGGGGATGGGGAGTCACAGTCAGGGGAGATGGAGGGGTCACAGTCAGGGGGATGGAGGGGTTACAGTCAAGGGTCAGAGCACTGGGGGTGCTGGGGATGCAGGGGTCAGAGCACTGGGGGTGGGGGGATGGGGAGTCACAGTCAGGGGGGATGGAGGGGTCACAGTCAGGGGAGATGGAGGGGTCACAGTCAAGGGTCAGAGCACTGGGGGTGCTGGGGATGCAGGGGTCAGAACACTGGGGGTGCTGGGGATGGAGGGGTCACAGTCAGGGGTCAGAGCACTGGGGGTGCTGGGGATGGGGAGTCACAGTCAGGGGAGATGGAGGGGTCACAGTCAGGGGGATGGAGCGGTTACAGTCAAGGGTCAGAGCACTGGGGGTGCTGGGGATGCAGGGGTCAGAGCACTGGGGGTGGGGGGATGGGGAGTCACAGTCAGGGGAGATGGAGGGGTCACAGTCAAGGGGGATGGAGGAGTCACAGTCAAAGGTCAAAGCACTGGGGGTGGGGGGATGGGGGGTCACAGTCAGGGGTCAGAGCACTGGGGGTGCTGGGGATGGGGGGGTCACAGTCGGGGGGATGGAGGGGTCACAGTCAGGGGTCAGGGCACTGGGCATGCTGGGGGTGCCCTGGGAGGCCCCCTTAGAGCTTACGGCCCCTCCCAGGCATCATCAGGCGCTTGACCCTCCAGAAGGAACTCCTCAGTCTCACAATTCATAGCTCCCAGGGCACTGGACCCAGGGTGGGGCCAGGAGGGTGACGGGTGGTCTGGAGGAGTGGGCTGAGGCAGGAAGGGGCAGGCAGACAATTTCAGCCCCAGGGGCAGGAGATGGGCATGGAGAGACCTGGAGCTGCAGAGAGGAGGGCAGACACAGATTGCTCTGCACAGGCTGTCACCGCGGGCGGCAGGAAAGCCAAACCAAATGCTAACACTGGCGTTTTCCCAGAGTCTGAATGTCTCAAGCACAGGCCACATGCTCATACCCCTCTCCAAGTGGGGACACGAGGAAGCAAAAGGCAGGGGTTCTATGCTCAGGCTCCAAGATCATGCAGTCCTGGACTCAAATCCTGCCTCTCTGGATCCTGCCTGTGTGACCTCAGCCAAGACCCTTGCCATCTCTGAGCCCTATGCCCCCGTTTTAGGGTTGAATGGGGTCTAACAAGGTCAGGAGAGTGATGCCTCAGTCAGCTCAGGATAAGCACTCAAGACAACACAAAACAGCTCTGAGGAAAGGCGTTTGGTGCCTCCATCTGGGCACAGTCACTTTCCCCAAATCCTCAGCTCCTCACATGTGTCTTTTCCTACAAGGCAGGATGGTGCTCAAAGCCCCTGTAGCTTCCCCTTTCCCAGCCAAGAGGGTCTGGATTAGCTGTCTGCACAGAAGCATAGTAATAAAAATTAAAGTGACAGCTAACACTTAGCGGGATTGCCACATGCAAGGTAGTGGTCTGAGTGCTTTACATGAATTAAGTCACTTAATCCCCTCCCAGTGTCCCTGGTGGCTCAGCTGGTAAAGAATCCGCCTGTAATGCAGGAGACCTGGGCTCGATCCCTGAGTTGGGAAGATCAACTGGAGAAAGGATTGGCAACCCACTCCAGTATTCATGCCTGGAGAACTCCATGGACAGAAGAGCCTGGTGGGCTACAGTCCATGGAGTTGCAAAGAGTTGGACATAACTGAGCGACTATCACTTTCAGTACCCCTAAGACATCCATGGCAGTATTATTCCCATTTTAGAGATGAGAACACCGAGATATATACACAAGGTTAAGTAACTTGCTGAGGTCGCAGAGCAGGATGGCCGGCTCCAAAGTCACATTCCTACCCTCTCAGGCCTGGCTTGAGGGAGCTAACTGCTGCCCAGGGCTGGGTGGGGTGGCTGTCTCACGTGCGGCCTGAAACCTGGGGTTTGGCTGGGGAGTTCCAGCGGCGTACGGGCTCTGGGATGGGCATGGGCAGCAGCAGGATGCAGTCTCTGGCCTGGCTTCGGGCTGCCGAGTTGGGCACGTGGAATACGGGGCTGTTGTTAGCAACTGATGCGGGTGTGGAGACTCCCAGGGCTTCCCAGGTGGCGCCAGCGGTAAAGAACCCGCCTGCCAATGCAGAAGACATTAAGAGACATGGATTCAATTCCTGGGTCGGGAAGATCCCCTAGAAGAGAGCATGGCAACTCACTCCAGTGTTCCCGCCTGGAGAATCCCATGGACAGAGGAGCCTGGAGGACTACAGCCCGTAGGGAGGCACAGAGTCAGATACGATGGAGCAGCTTAGCACGTGGAGACTCAGAGGCTCTTGGGAGCCTTGGGCTGGAGAGGAGCAGGCAGGCCAGCCCTGGGTCCCACGGCTGGCTGTGTGGTACAGAGGACAAGGGCACAGGTTCCGAAGCCGGCATAACTGCGGTCAAGCCTCACTTCTGCTTTCTTAACCATGCAGCCCCAGACTCTGTTTCCCTCTCTGTAAAATGCGGGCTGTGCTAGTACAGACCCCAGACTGGCAAGTTGTGCCTGGAACGTGCCCACCAGCACCTGGTGAGCCATACGCACTCTGGGAGGAGCAGTGACAACTAGAGGGGCAGGTGGCCTCCACTCAGGGGTTCAAGACCACCAGAACCAAGCGGGCTCATCCTCTCTGTGCCACTCTGTGCCTGCAGGCATGTTGGCACTGGGAGTGGGAAGCACCCCCTCAGGAGGGCACAAGGTCAGAATACACAACGAGGAGCCCGAGCCTCTGCAGGAAGGGTGGAGGCCTCAGAGTGACCTCACACAGAGGGCATGGCAGAGGGTCCCAGCACCAGGTACGGGGGCGTCAGAGGACCCGAGCCCCCGCCCCGGTCCTGACAGCAGCACCCTGGTGTGCGGCTCACGGGCAAGTGCCCCTGGGGCTGGACCTCCAGCGGCTGTCACAGGACAGTCGAGTGTGCGGGAGAGTCACAGGAAAGGGAACACCAGGACCCCAACACCAGGAGCCTGCCCAGCCTTCCGGGTTTCTGGAGACACACCAAAAGGCTGCTGGTTCCGAAGAAACTTGAGTCCTCTCTACTCTTAACAGTGCCTTCCCCTCTGGCCAGGCTGGAGGCCTCAGAGCAGACGCTGTGCTGGGCTCACCGCCTCTGGGCGCCCAGCATGTACACAGTGGCTGGCACACAGTAAGTGTCAGGCTGACATCAGTTTAATGAATGAATAAATGCAAGAGCCTCACACAGCCCAACCCCCACCCACGATCCCACCCTCCTGAGACATCCTGAGCCACTTGCCTCCGGAACCCCCAGGTGGCCTGGTGAGCAGAGCCCTCAGGCACCAGAGGCGCCCTTTCCCCCCTTCTCCCAGGGCGGGTCCCCTGGAGCTGGCCCAGCCCCTTCCCAAGACCTGGTGACCCCTCCACACCTAAGAGCTGGGGTGCGGGGTGAGGCGGCAGCCCCCCAAAGCCATGCCTGGGGTCAGTGGGTTTGGCTTCACACCACAGAGAGGGAGCCAGGGTCTGTGTCCCCTCACCTGAGCCCAGCTGCTCCCGCTGTGGGGTGAAGTGACCCTGCACAGCCTCCAACAGCTGCCCACCCCTTCCCTGCCCCCACACCGCGCCCCAGGGAGGCTCCTGGGGGCTCCCTGGTTCCTCCCAGGGGACAGCCAGGGGTCAGGCACCAGCGGGCAGCAGCAGAGAGCTGGGCGGAGACACAGGCCGCGGCTTCCTAGGGGCCCGGCCCGTCTGTCCCGGCCTGTCCGCTGACGGACCGGGGTTGGGTGAGGCGCCTGCAGGAGTCGGGGACGGGGGCCTTCTTTAGACGCTGTTCACCCCCTTAACCCCTGCTGCGGTGGGTTCAGGCACTCTGAAGACAGCGAGCGGGGTACGCGGACAGCGGTGGGCCCTGTGCCTCGGGGGGCGTGGGAACAGAGTCCCTCCAGAGAGGCCGGGGCGCCAGACGCTCCGTGTCCCCCGCCCCAGGCAGGGGTGTGCGGCCGCCGCCGGGAAGGGAGCGACCCCGCTTCCGCCGCCTGGTGGGGTGTGGATGCAGGCGGGGCACCGTGTCCCCCCGGGCACCGCTGGGGTGCGGCCGCCGGCAAGGGCGCGTGGTTCCCCCCACCCCCACCCAGGCTCCTCGAGCGGCCGAGGGACTGCGCGCGACCCCGGCGCGGGCCCCCGTCCCATCGGCACGACCAGGGCCCCCTCACCTCGCGACACGCAGGAGCCCATCACGGGGCCGCGGGGCCGGGCCGCCGGGCGCTCATGTCTCCGCTGGCGCGGGGCCCACGCGCGGCGCCGACGCGGACGAGCGGGGAGGGGTCGGGCCCGCGGCTCCCGCCCGGGCGTCTGGATCGCGCCGCCCGCTCGCCTGGCGCCGCCCCGCCGCGGTCAGCGCGGGCGGGGCCGGAGCACCGGCGGCCCGCGCACCTGTGGCCGCGGCGGGGGCGGTGCTGAGCGCGGAGGCAGAGCGGGAGGTCGGATCCCGGGCGCTCGGGCCGCCAGGGCCCGGGGTGAAGGGCAGGGACGGGCGGCGGGGGCGGGGAGGCTCCAGCGTCCGGGTGCAGCGCGCAGGGTGGGCAGTGAGCCGCTTTGCAGGGAAGAAACGGAGGCGCTCACACGCCTTGCCCAGGGCTCCTGCGCGGGGAAGGACGCCGACTTTTGCCCGTCAGCCCCTCACTGGCGGTTGATGGGCCAGGCCGGGGATGTAGACGGCGGGGATGGTGAACCGGTAGGTCAAGGTCATTGCCTGCGGGCCCCTCCGGCGCCTGAGGGCGGGTGACCCGGGCCCCTCCAATCACTCACACTCGCCCTCTCACATGCCTACCCATGAACACACGTGCGTACAGTCGCACATGCGAGCATATGCTTCACCCACACGCTCACCACCGCACACACCCACATTCACACACACTCGCGTTCACACGCAGTAGTGCTCAGACAGACCCCAGCTCCTCAGCCAGCGGTCCAGCACAGCCCTGAGGCACGGAGTACTCACTTTCGCCTCTTTCGGTCCATCCTGACACCTCCGTGCACCAGGCAGGGGGCGGGTGGCACGGTTCCCCTTTTATGAGTGAGGAGGCCAGGTTCCCTGGTGCCAGCCCAACAGGGCTCTGAAGGATGAAGGCAGCTGGGGTGGCCATGTGGTGGGGCTCAGGGCCTCCAGCCCGGCAGGAGCCGGGCCTGGGGGCTGCCCGTGTGGGGGTGGGCGCTGGCATCTCCTCTTTCCTCAGGCCTGGCGCCTTCTCTGGAGAAAAGTCCTGGTGGGGAGAGACCCCGGCCAGGGGTGTCAGCACCGCTGGTGAGAACGTGGGCTTGGCTCACACCCTCTGTGTGACCTGGGACAAGCTGCTTCCCTTCTCTGAGCCTCAGGTTTTTTTGCCTGTTAACTGGGGGTAGAAATCTTACCTCATGGGATTGCTGTAAGGATCAGTGAGATGATGTGTGCAAAATGACTGAGCAGTAGTAGGTACTTAGAGCTAAAAATAGCAGTGATGGTGAACACAGGTGTGACATTTCCTCACAAAGTGAGAATGCTGAAGAACCTCCATGCAGTGGACGTGCGTGAAGCGCCGGCTAGGTGCGGGTGTGAGCACGACAGATGCGCTGGTCCTGGAGCGCTCAAGGCCGTCCATGCCCCGCCCGCCTCAGACCCTCAGCCCCTCTCCACCGAGTCTGCTCTAGAGGGGAGCTCTGAGCCTCACCCTCGTGTGGGGGTCCAAGCTCTGTGGCCCAGGGCGGGGAGGTGGGGGTCCTTTCTCTTCCTCCCGTCACGGGGCGCCTGGCTCCGGCTGGAGGGAGGGCTGTGACTCACCCTGATGCAGGACGCTGGGTCACAGCTGCAGAGGCTCCCTCTGGCGGCCCGGCCGCTCTGGGGGCAGAGCGGGTGTCAGGCTTATGGGGGGAAGGTGCCTGGGGAGCCCATGGCGCCCCTTCAGCCTGAGACAGAGGCCCATGGGGAGGCTGGGCAGTGTGCCACCACAGGCACTTGCTCCGCAGCCCAGAGACATGTCCAGGGTGGGGCTCTGGCCAGCCCGGCCTCAGCGTTCACGCTGGTCAGCTCTCCACTGACTGATCCTCTCCTTGTCCAGACAGGAGCACAGAGAGGGGCAGGGGCCTGCCCAAGGTCACACAGCCAGCTGGCGGCCAAGTGAGGGCTGGAACACAGGCCTGCTGCCCGTCAGCCCAGCCCCGGCCCTCGGCTGAGACTGGGCCTTGCGGGGTGGGCTGCCCCCCCAGCACACCCACATTCACCTTCCCCGTCCTTGGAATTCTGCTGAAGCGGACAATTCCCGGACAGCGCCAAGATGTGTGGCTGTCCTTCCCCTGGGGCAGGCTGTCCTTTTCCGGCTCAGCCCAGAGCCCATCTGCCTGGTGACCTTCCACCCCCCTGCCCCCAGCCATCCATGGGGGAGGGGGCTCCTGGTGGGGGAGGGGCCAGAGGAGAGTGCCTGGCTGTGCTGTCACACTCTGCGTCCCACTCTCTCGGCATGGTTTGGGGGGTCCGGCCAGCGCCCCCTCTGCGTGGCCAGCCCCGCTGTTCCTGGCGGACAGTGAACGTCCACCATGCTGAGTGCCTGGCCCCGGGCTGGGCGCAGGAGCGTGGAGAGGAGATGCTGCACAGTTTGGTGGGAGGGAGGTCAGTCACCGGGAGGTTAGGGATGACTCAGACTTGGTCCCGCCCAGGCAGTCCTGAGAGGGGGGTCAGCAGGGTTCAGGGGAGCCACGAGCATAAGTAACTCCAGTCAGGGTGGCCAGCGGGGCACCCCCCACGCCAGCCACGGGTGGTCGGGGAGAGCTGCTTCTGCCAAGGGTCAGGAGGACAGTGTCAAGGCGAGGGTGGCCCCACAGTGGAAGTTTGAAGGTTAAGAGGGATGTTGGCAGGCAGAGATGAAGGCGCGCTCCATGTCCACAAAGACTCGGAGGCAGGCTGTGACAGGCCCATGGGGACCGGCATCTATGATACTCAGGGTCCAGTGGGGGAGGATGAGACTTCAGACTAGAGGTGCCCACCTCCCAACTTCAGACATCTCCTCAACACTGGTTTTCTCAGGAAAGACAGAGCTGGATAAGCGGAAAGAGAACAGAACTGGAAACCAGACAGATCTGGGTTTACCTCCAGTGCTCAGAATAATACCTAGTAGACGCTCAGTAAATATTCATTGACTGAAGGTAAGAACGTGAGACCTCTCTGAGGCCACACGTCCAGAAAGTGGTTGCAGCCAGAGCTGTCTGATTTTACCTCTCCTTCATTCATCAGATGCTTCCGGAGACCTACTACGTGCCCAGTGCTGTGGGGTGGCGATGGAGACAGGTTTCCATTCTCTGGGGAGGTAGAACAGACTGGTGGGGGAGGTTGGCATTAACCCGATAATGGCCCAGGCAAATTGAGACTCACTGCCCTGGAAGGTTCTAGACAAGAGCTCTTGAGAGGGTAGAAGAGGAGGACTTGATCTGGTCTCTCAGGTGGAGGCAGCATCCAGCGGAGGTGACAGTGATAAGTCCCCAGATGGAAGGTGAGTGCAACCTGGCCTGGCAGAGAGAATGGCATGGGCGATGGTGTGGAGGAGGGAGGCAGGGTCCGATTCTCAGCAGGACGAGTCTGTGTTTCTTCTTCTGGCGGCAGCTCTTCTGCCACACTCAGCGGGAACAGGGGTGCACCGCTGTCCTCCCTGACCTGAGCTATTTCTGCATGTGGCTCCCCTTGCCCTGCACCATCCCCCACCCCAGGCCTGGGTGGCTGGCGCACAGAGGTGGGGGGGTTGGCGCTGAGCTGGTGGGGTGGCAGGGCTGGCCAGGCTGTGGGCCCAGATCCCAAGGTGCTGGGATCTCGTCTTCATCCAGAGAGCCTTGGGAAGCCCCATTCTCCTTCTCCATCTGCAAGCCAGCCTCCTCTCTTCCAGTCACCTTTGGGGTGAGGGTTGGGGGCTGTCGAGGCCCAGGTGAGGCTCCCAGTACAGCTCCTTGTTCCTCCAGAGGCCCAACCTGACCCAGGAGTCCTGAGGACCAGGGCTGGGGGCCTTCCTGAGACGCCTGGGCAAGAAGCCCACAGCTGACCTCAGACGGTGCCCGCTCTGCAATCCAGCCTTGGGCCCGGGGGCTTCTAGCTGGAGTGGGGTGACTAGAGAGAGCGCCCCCTCCTCCCTCATGACTGGGTGGGGCTGGGAGACCGAAGAGGGTAAGTTCTGCAGGGGCTCCCAGGTGACGGAAGAGACGCTGTGGTGGGCACCAGTGACGGGACAAGGCCAGCTCCGGCCGGGGGGCCTTCTGGCCTGGCGAGTGAGCGCCGTTCACTGAGCTCATCTCTAAAGTGCCCAGCCCAGGCCTGGCCTACAGTAGCTGCTTCACGACAGGACCCGTTTCTCAGGGGTCCGAGGCTGGCACCCTGACTCTGCGGCGGGGAGGCGGCCCCCTGCAGGGACCAGGGCAGCTTTCCGCTCCCCTGAGATGCGTTTCCGGGGCCGTGTGTGTCATGCGCCGTCTGACCACTAGGGGGCAGCCTAAGACAGCCTCATTCTTCACTGCTGTCATTGGCCTGCCTCCTGAGGCCAATTTATCCGGAAAGTGCGGAGCTTAGCGACTCAGACTCACCCACTCTGTGAGGGTGTGCATCGTGTGTTCTGCACGAGGGAGCCCAGCCGAGCAGGAGGACACAGAAACCATGCCTGTGCTCTGGTCACCAAGCCCTGGGCTCTAGAACGGGCTGGATCTGCCCTAGTAAGGGATACATTTTTTTTTTGGGGGGGGGGGGGGCTGTGCTGGGTCTTAGTTGCAGCATGTGAACTCTTAGTTGTGGCATGTGGACTCTAGTTCCCTGACCAGGGATCGAACTCAGGCCCTCTGCATTGGGAGCAGAGTCTCAGCCACGACCACCAGGCAAATCCCAGGGTGCCTTTTTATTAGAACAAAGTTGTTATCTCCCTTCCAGGTTTCAGAATAAAAGGCTGCATTGACCAGATTTGCACACAGTCTTCATTTAGGCCACCAGCACTCCTGAACTCACATTACCTGGTCCTGACTCCCACTGTACAGATGTGGAAACCGAGGCCTAGGAAGCCAACCAAGGCCATTTAGGAGCACAGCTGGGCCTGGAGCCCTGCAGCTGGAGGGACTACCTGCTCCACCTGCAGGCTTCAGGTGCCAGGTGCTACCTCTGGAGGTCAGGCCCTGCCTATGGGTCCGGGAGACCAGGGCTTGGGGCCTTTCCGGGAAGCCTGAGAGAAAAGGCCACAGGCTGACCTCAGAGTTTTGCACTCTCAGCTCCAGGCTCGAGATTGGGGGGGTTTCCAGCTGGAGTGAGATGACAGGTGGGAGTACCTTCCAGGTGACCAGCTGGACTGGACAGGGGCTGGGGGGGGGGGGGGGGACAGAGAATAAGCGCTCGGTCTGATGGAGGAGGAGCAGTTACAGCACAGGGCACTAAGGCCGCCAGCCCTGCTCTCAGAAAGCTCCCAGCCTGGTGCACAAGCCGAGAGAAGTGTCTCCTGCATCAGGGCAGGTGTCCCCCAGCTGTTTCAGGGGCAGGAGTTCTCATGGGCATCAGAGGCACACCCCCAGTGTGGGAGAGCCCCCTGATTTCAGTGGAGCCATTGGTGTGGGCTTAGGGGTTGGGTATGTTTGGGTTAATAACAGCAACAATGATAATCATGGCAGCTGAGACCTTCCCTTGTGCCAGCTGCTGTACTGATGGGCCTCCTGATGGGCCCGAGCTGTGGCCACGCTGCAGCAGCTGGGAGACTCCAGGCGTGCCCCTCCTTCTGGGCTTCAAGGGCGATTAGGAGCCTGGCAGTTCCTGTGGCCCCGCAGTCTGCCCCCATTCCCGCCTCTGGATGTTTGCACAGACTGTGCATCCCCCTCGATTAGTTCACGTCCCCTGTATCCACCCCTCGAGTCTCAGCCACAGAGGTCTTTCCTGTGTCCCTCCTCATTCATGTCCTCATTCGTCAAGTATTGATCAAATCAGCATCAGCAATGTGCTGTCTGCTCAAATGATATGTAGTTGAGAGTAATCAGACAGGTCCCAGCTGTCTTGGAGATCAGAGTAGGTGTCAGCAAACTATGATCCATGGGCCAAATCCAGCCCTTGGCCATTGTTTTAAAACAAAGTTTTATTGAAACACATTTGTGTTCATTTGTTTACCTCTGGCCACCCTGCCTTACAATAGGCCAAATCCGGCCTTTGGCCGTCGTTTTAAAATAAAGTTTTATTGACACACATCTGTGCTCATTTGTTTACCTATGGCCGCCCTGCCTTACAACAGCAGAATTGTGTTCTTGCAGCAAGAATCCCATGGCTCTCAAAGCCAAAAATATTTGTTACCTGGCCCTTTGCATTAAAAGTTTGCTGGTTTAGAGTCTGGCAGAGAAGGCAGACATGAACAAGTTACTGGAATAAATAAATTGACAAATTGTGAGAAGTGTGAGGAGGGGCACAGCAAGGGTCAGGAGTTGAGACGCAGGGTGAGACGGTCACCGCTTCTTCTTCCCTCCCGCCCTTGAGTCTCTGAGCAGTCGGTGGGGGCAGGACATGGGCTGCATATGCAGCTCACTGGCCTGCCTGAAGGGCAGTCTCCTCCTGTGCCTGTTTACAGCAGGGGTGGGGTCCTGCTGAAATGTGCGGTGAGGGGTCACTACCTTCTCTCCCAGATCACCCAGCCTCACAGCCGGTTATGACTGTTCTCACATCCCCCATCTCCCCGTCCCCTGGGAGGCAGGCAGAGCGGGAAACAGTGTTCGTTTTACACCTGGGACAACAGATGCTCATTACATTTAATGACTTGGCTGAATCTTGCTGAGCTGCAAGCAGAGATCTTGATGTCGTGGGAAAGCCCTGGACAGTATTTAGGACCCCAGGGTTCTAGCCCAGGTATCACTTGGGCAAGCCTGTTCCCCTCTGGGCCTCAGTCTGCTCATCTGTAGCTGAGAAGGTTGGAGAAAGGAGCTCTTTTCTGGATCTGCAGCAGCACGCTGGGGCTCGCCCCGTCTGTCTCTGTAAAGTGGGGAAATGCTGAGCCCCTCCCACACTCCCGAGGCTGGGCCCTGGCCAGGGAGATCACAGATGGGAAAGTGCTTTGAGCTTGCTGGAAGAAAGGGCCCCTATAAACCCAGAGGGTTCCTAGGGCGGTGGGCCAGGCCTGAGCCGGGGGCCCCGGGGCTGCGTTCGCTTTGGCCAGCAGGGGGTGCTGTGGGGAAGCGGAGGCCGGCCTCGCCCTGTCCGTCTGGGCGCGGACGCGGATGAAAGGGGCCTGAGATACCCCCGACCTCGGGGTGGGGCTGTGGTGGGCACTTGAAGCGAGCGATGGGCATCGTGGCAGGGCTGGGCGGGGGTAGTGACCCCGGGCGGGGGCCCACGAGGAAGCAAGAGGTCGGCGGTCTGGGCTGGACAGCCAGGCGGAGACTGTGGGGAAGCGTCTGGGCTGTCTGGACTTGAATCCTAGCCGTGCCACCCGCAGCCAGGTTGCCTCTCCGGGCCTCGTGTTCCTCGCCTGTAAAATGGGAATAATAACTGCACCCGCTTCTCAGAGCTGTTGTGAGAACAGAAAGAGCTAACCGTGGGTGACACCTTAGAGCAGGTCCTGACTTGGACCAGTTTCTTAAATGTTGCCGTTGTGACCCGAACTGGACAGCTTGCACCTTGGCCGGTGAAGCTGGGTTCGTGTCCGCTCAGGAGCAGAGCAGTGAGGGCAGAGCTGAGGACGGGCCACCTGGAGAGGAAAGAGAGGCTGCCTGGGCGGGGGCGGGGGGGGGGCAGGAGCACAAAATGGGGAGAGGGGCGCGGTGAGACATGGGAGGATTGGAGGAGGAGGCTCCCACTGCCGCCCCAAACTCGACTCCCTACTGAGTCACCCGCTCCCAGCTCCTTCCCCAGCTGTGTGCTCTTGGGCATGTCTTTGGGCCTCTCTGAGCCTCAGTCTCCTCCTCTGTAAAATGGGGTAATAGCTTCTGCATCACAGAGCTGCAAGGATTCCTTAAGACAGCCTGGCTCTGGGACCCCAGTCTTTTCCACTGTGACCCCTCCAGTCTCATAGGGGAGTGGGTCTGGCTCTGGGACCCCAGCCTCTTCTGTTGTGACCCTTCCAGTCCCATAAGGAGGTGGGTCTGGCTCTGGCCCCACAACCTCCCAGGTTGTTTGTCTAGAAAACCAGCTAAAGAGGAAAACCCCCAACACAAACACAGCCCAGCTGGTCTCTGCAGCCCTGCCCAGCCCTGCCCTGCCCACTCCTGCCTTCGCAGCCCAAGAAGCAGGTGGGGTGAGTCGGGGGAGAAACAGACGCTCTGGGAAAGTGTTTCTTCCCAGTGCAGGGAGTGGCAGGAATCAGGTCAGGGTAGAGCTGACGGAAGGGCCCCCAGGACTCAGCTGAGGGGTGAGACGCTCCTATTCCAGCAAGTAGGACAGTGGGCAACAGAAGCCACTGGGAAGCTGGTACAACAAGCAGGTTCCAAGACCCTGCTGCCTGCCCACCCACAAGTCCTGCCACCGGGCTCCTAATTCCCTAGACTTGTGATGACCTCAAGCCCTGGGGGATCTGACGGAGGAGGCCCAGCTCGGCCTGCTGGGAAAAGCAAAAGCTGATCTGGGGAGAGGCTTGTGGCGGGGTGAGAGCAAGTGGCTCTGGGCAGGGTCTGTCTGGGGACGGAGGGCTCTTCCAGCAGGCTTGGAGGCCCGAGGCGGTGGCAACCATGAGATAAGAAAGTCAGAAGTGCAGGGAGGCAGGGGTGCAAGGAACAGGCACGCAGAGGGATGGCAAGTCATTTCTGTTAACAATTAAAGTTCTCAGGATCCTTCACCTTACTGGGTGGAGGTTTCCATACACATTGTCCTTCTGGTCCTCAAAGCTTAGGAGCTTCCCAGGTGGTTCAGTGGTAAAGAATCCACCTGCCGATGCAGAAGACACGGGTTCGATTCCTGGGTTGGGAAGATCCCTTGGAGGAGGACACAGCAACCCACTCCAGTATTCTTGCCTGGAGAATCCCATGGACAGAAGAAGCTGGTGGGCTACAGTCCAGGGGGTCGCAAAGAGTCAGACACAACTTAGCAACTAAACAACAACAACTAACCTAGTGGGAGTGGGGTTGTTTTAAGGACCTTTCTACCAATGAGGAAACTCATAGACATAAGTGCCGGAATCCCGTATCCCATCTGCGCAGGAGAGCAGAGAGGTGGCTCTCCATGTCAGGAGGAGAAGACAGGAGGCAGGAGGTGAGGATGGGTCACTGGGACTTCATCTAGGGCTGATCCTTCTGGGGACCCTGAGCTTCAGAGTTGAGTGGCTGAGACACTTGCAGTTCTGGCGGGGGGCAGGGTGAAGGTCATGGCTGACCGTCACCAGGGTCCGTGTCTCTAATCCTGGAGGGCTGGCGAGGAGGCAGGGGTGTTGTCAGGCTCTGGACACTGACCCTGAGGGTAGACACGGCTACCCCCAGGGAAGCCTCAGCAACCCAGCGGAAAGCTGTCTCCTCGTCCACAGACACCTGCCCTGCTCTGAGGAAGAGCCTCCCTGGGGCCTGCTCTCCCAGAGACCCCCTGTGCAGACCCTCATCCATGGCAGAGTCAGGCCAGGGGGCTCTGGGGTCCATCCTGGAGCGCTGTCACCTGAAGAGTGTGGCCACATCCCCTCTCCCCGCCATTGGGTCTGGCTCATGGTCAGTCCCTGGGGCCCAGGCTTTGGGTCGGAGAGCCTGGTCCAAATCGAGAGACAAATAAGGGACTGTCATGGCTGAGGGCCCTGTAGAGGGGAAGACAGGCGGGGGTCAGGAGTTAACTCTGCAAGATGCTGGGCTCCCAGGCTTGGGAACCCCCAGGCTCGGGACTTGTCACACGGTTCTTGGTCCCAAGGTGGCTGGGCCATCTTCAGCTTTCATTTCTCCCTTCCGCCTCAAATCACTTCTGGTTTCAGTTCCTCTTCCCACAAGGCCCTAACCCTCAGTCCCACTGCCTCCCTGGGATCTGCAGGCTCGGGTCACCACAGGCCAGGTCCCTCTGATCGAATCTGAACCAACATGCCTTTCGTGCTCAACCCCAGTCTGTGACACAGGCTGCTGCGTGGGGCTGGCGCGGGGCGCAGAACTCTGAGCAGCAGGAGGAAGCAGAGGGGGGCCGGGCCGCGGAGGGGGGCTTGGCCGTGGCCGAGCGCTCACCTCGCTGGGCGACAGCTTCTGTGATGTTTGTGAGGACATGCACTCGGAGCTCACGGAAAGTTTCTCTTATCATCGTGGGAGAGTGGCCTCCCGTGACCTTGTCTCACCCCTCATTTCTCCGAACCCGAGGCTCGGAGAGGGCGTCAGCCGTCCTGGGTTGCCGCACTCAGCAGTGGTGGGCGGGCCTCCCCGGGTGGGTCCCGCAGGGCAGGCCCCATTGTGTGCTCCCGGCAGGAAACCGCTGCGCTCAGCAGCCCAGCTGCGAGAGGAGGAGCGAGCCTGGCTACATGACCCGCAGCCCCGAGGCTGAGCCGGGCCTGGCGGCTGGGCAGGTGCGGTGGGCACTGCGGCGGAGACCTCCCTGCCCAGAGGTGGGAGTGCGCGGAGCTGAGGCCTCGCCGTCCTGCCCCCCAGGCCTGCCTGCCAGGAGGAAGCGTGTTGGCTCCTTGCTTGGTAGGGAGAGAGCGCGAGTGCCCAGCAGGGCCGGTGCACCCCTGCGCACCCGGGAGCTTTGCACAGACCCCACACCCACGCACCAGCTCTGGTTTCCAGGGGCCTGGGAGTCTCCAGGGGGAGGGCTCAGCCCTTGGTGGGGCCCCTGCTGGACTGCCTACGTGGGACCTGAAGCAGCGTGAGGGGTCTCCTGGCGACTCATGAGGGACTGGTGCCCCCCTCACTCTGGACGCAGGGCCGGGAGGAGGCCTCAGGCCCAGCTGGTTCGTGGCCTGGCCAGTCACCACAGGGAGGGGCTGGAGGCCAGCACATCACCAGGAAGCACAGGGGAGCCACTGACAGATTCAGCAGAGGGGCGGGAGGTGGTCTGATGTGGCTTCTGGAAGGGGCAGACTGGAGGCCGCAGATTGGGCGGCAGCCGGGGTCTGGAAAGGGGGTGGGCGGGCTTGGCAGAGGTCGAGTGAGTGGGGGTGGATGTGGGGGCACCAGAGTGGGCTCCCTGGGGTCCGCTCCAGCTCCCCCTCGGAGGCTGTGTGCTGATGGCGCCTTAAGTCCTTGCACCTTGCTCTTTGCACATAAAATGAAAGTGATGTCAGAACTGAGCCAAAACAAATCCCCTCCCCGCCTCTCTCTCTGGACGGCCCAGCATCAATGCCCCAGCCAGAGGACACCTAGACCAGGGCAATGGAGGCACACGGAAGCGGAGAACAAGCACAGGGTGGGAGGCAGGGCTCCAGCCTGGACAGCAGAGGGGCCGGGAGGAGCGGTGTCCCCTGGGGCAAGGACCGAGAAGCCCAGGTTCCGAGCAGAGCCTCACCTGGGGTCAGGAGCCTGGGTGCCAGCCCGCGTCACTAGGGAGCCAGCCGTGCGGCTGGGACCCTTTGCTGCAGGAAGTGAAACGGGAAGGCGGCTGGAAGGGAACCCCTGTCTGGATGGTGAGACACCCCTCCGAGGGGGCCAGCTGCAGCCCGGGAGTACACTGCGGGCCTGTTCTCCTGCAGCTGCCACACGTCCAGGCCCCGAGCCCCTGCCTCCCTCCTCTGCCCTCTGAGAGCAACAGTAATGGCCACAGGCCTCGCCTCTCCCAGCTCACCGTGTGCCTCCCGGGACTCTCTAAGCCCCAGCTTCCTTGTCTGTCAAATGGGGCTATAATGACACTTGCCTCAGAGGCCTGACTAGAGGAATAAATTAAACCATGCGTGGCAGATACGAATTGCCTGGCACAGCTGGCTGATGTGCCAAGTCATTGGTAAGACCCTGATGCTGGGAAAGATGGAGGGCAAGAGAAGGGGACGACAGAGGACGAGATGGTTGGATGGCATCACCGACTCAATGGACATGAGTTTGAGTAAACTCCAGGAGTTGGTGATGGACAGGGAGGCCTGGTGTGCTGCAGTCCATGGGGTCCAGAGAGTCAGACATGACTGAGCAATTGAACAATAACAACTATCTGACTGCCGGTGTGACATCGTATGGCCTCACATGGGCCCTGAGAGGCAGATACACTTTGCCCATCATACAGAAGAGGAAAACTGAGGCTCAGAGAGGTTGAAGTGGTTTGCCACACAGTTCTGACCAAGCAGCTCCCAAGCCTGGTTCTTTCCATGGCGATGGCTGGGACATGGAAGGGAACAGGTGGGTAGGTAGGTTTGGGACGGGATCCACGTGCCGTCCACCTGGTGTCAGGAGAGGGTCCTGATTCCCAGCCCCTCCTCCGTCTCTGCTGGACCATCTCCCCACTTCTGTCAAAGGCCAGCCCCAAGACAGCAAGCCTCTCTGCTGACCCCGCACCCGCCTTGGCTATTCCTACTCTCTCGGGTCTAACTTGCATCTTTCCTGTTTGAGCTGCAGCCTCTTTCCCCCTCACCTGCCTCTGGGCCAGCAGCTGGCAGCCGCCCTGACAGAGATGCACCCACATCCCGAGTCCATGGGTGCGGAAGAGAGGGCACCAGCTCCCCCCATGGGATCGCCTTGCCGGCCTAGGGGCGCCTGAGGCACCACCCACCTCCCCCCGGCAAGAGGCTCTGCAGCTCCTTAGACTCAGAGGAGTTGCCGTGGGCCCAGGACGAAAGCAGGCAGCGAGAGAAATCAGACGCTGGTTCCAAGCGGGGCCCAGAGTCCTCCGCCACTGCCGCCCCTCCTGGCCCAGGCCCAGCAGGGTCAGAGCGCTGGGTGCTGTGGAGCCTCCGGGCGGCCTCTCCTGACATACCTGGCCAGGTGAGCAGGCAGCGAAGCCAAGAGCCAGCTCACCGCCTGGGTGTAAACAGCGGCCCAGTGGGAAGCTGGCAGTCGCCTCCACTGCCCTCTCCCCAGCCCCCTCCCTGGAGCCCCGCCCGGGGAGAGGAGGGTGCCCCAACTCGTTCGAGGAGTTCCGTCCCTCACTTGTGCCCATCCTGGGTGGGGTGGGGGTGAGCGGGGGGCCCACAGAGACTCTCTGTGCTCCAGGCCACGCACACCCCGCGTCTTCCCTGCGCTGGTGCCAGGAAGGTGCCAGGCTCTTGGGATCCCAGGCCACCACCTCCTCCATCCCAGCCCACCTGCCTCTGCCACTGGCTCCCGGGGTCCGCAGAGCAGGACAAGGGCCGTCTGGGTGCTGGGTCGTCCCCTGAAGGGGCCCCTTCTGTCCCTAGCAGCTGAGAGCTGTGTCCTGTGGAAGGAGGGGTGCAGCTCCAAGGCCTCCAGGACAAGGAGGAAAGCCAGTCTCCACGGACCCCTGAGACCCGAGGCCCTGCCCTTGGCACACACTACCTGGGAGGCAGACATTGCCACCCCCACTTTAAAAACGGGGACACTCAGCTGAGACTGGTGGCTGCCTGAGGGATTGGATCCACTCTCACTTGTCCATCCCTTTCTTCCCAACGCCTGCCACGCAGCAAGAGCTCAAGTGACACTTGTGGAGTGAATGAAGGAGGTTCAGAGAAGGCAAGCAACCTGGCCAAGGACACACAGCCAGAAGGTTGCTCTACTGAGAGTCAACCCTGGCTAGCTCAAATCCTCAGCCCAGGCTGTTTCTGAGACCCGCCCACCACTGGGGGGCCTCACACGGACATGAGTGAAGGTGCACCTCCTCACGCACATGCACGCACTCCCACACAGCCTTCAGTAGAGGTCCCATCTGCGGAGGGCCCCGTCTGCCACACCACTGAAGCCCTGCAGTGGGCCCACCCTTCCGCCACCTCCGGCTGATACACACTCTTCCTTCGGGGCTGGCCTCACACCCTCCTCTGTCACCACCCTCCTCCACAACCGGGAGAGGGCAGGACGGGGCATGCCCTCTCCCACCCCCACACCAGGTGCCCTCTCGGCCTCCTCAGGCCCCAGTGAGCGATTGGCACCGCTGCTCTGCAGAAGGCTTGGGAAGGCACCCCGATAGGGCACAGATTTGGGCCTAAGAACAGGCAGCATCCAGACCACAGTGGAGCCAGGCAGATCTGGTACCTGGGCAGAGAGGGGGGCCCAGCTGTCTTCAGGGCAAGTCCAAGATTTGGGGTCATCACTCCCACCCCACTGTATCACATGGTGCAGCCCCAGGAAGCTGCTGAGCAGACAGACCACAGGGGCCAGGCCCTCCTCCTGCTGCATGAGCCCCAGACCTGCTCGGCTCACTCCCCCGAGCAGGCTGAACCTGGAACGGGCCTCTCCTCCTGCTCTCCCACCAACAGAGGCCCACAAGGCAGAGGTGGTCAGGAGAGGCAGGGGCCCCTGGGAAGAACAGATGGCATGTGCCAGACATGCCTGAGACACTCCACACAGATTTTCAGCGAACCTCACAGCAACCCTGGGAGACAGACAGAAGTTAATCTTAGGGACCAACCTTCTCCCCATTTTCCAGAGGGATAAACGGAGTCCTTGGAAGAAAAACTATGACCAACCTGGACAGCGTATTAAAAAGCAGACACACTGCTTTGCCAACAAAGCTGCATCTGATCAAGGCTGTGGTTTTTCCAGTGGTCATGTATGGATGTGAGAGCTGGACTCTAAAGAAAGCTGAGCGCCGAAGAATCGATGCTTTTGAACTATGGTGTTGGAGAAGACTCCTGAGAGTCCCTTGGACTACAAGGAGATCCAGCCAGTCCATCCTAAAGGAAATCAGTCCTGAATATTCATTGGAAGGACTGATGCTGAAGCTGAAACTCCAAATTTTGGCCACCTCTTGCGAAGAGCAGACTCATTAGAAAAGACCCTAATGCTGGGAAAGATTGAAGGTGTGAGGAGAAGGGGACGCCAGAGGATGAGATGGTTGGATGGCATCACTGACTCAATGGACATGAGTTTGAGCCAGCTCTGGGAGTTGGTGATGGACAGGGAGGCCTGGTGTGCTGCAGTCCATGGGGTCGCAAAGAGTCAGACACGACTGAGCGACTGAACTGAACTGAGACTGAGTCCAGAGAGTTAAGGCTCTCGCCCAAGGCTCCCCATCCCTGGCATACAGTAGGCATTCGCTAAGTATCTGTGGGTGGATGTAGTTGCAAGGAGGAAGGTGATCTATCTAAGAGCTTGAACAGAGGCAGATTCTGAACCCAGGTCTGACTCCAGAGGCTCTTGGCTTCTCTCTTGGCTGAACCTCCTCTGCGGCCTTGGGACTCACAGACCAGGCCCAGCCAACATGTATCCAATTATGGGTCTCCCGTGTGAGGAGGCCAGCATTCCCAGGCTCCACACGCCTTCCTTTCAGGTTGAGAAAAGAAATGCAGCCTCCCGGCCTCGCCACCTGGGCCCCGTGCACTCCCGTTAAGCAGAAGCAGTTTCACAGATCACCAGCATCAGACAGGGCCCCTCGAAGACCATGATGGAGCAAGACAAAAATCAAGACCATTCGATAATCAGATCACAAAAGATGAATGTGATCCAAACCACAAAAATGACCAGACGTCCCAGCTGAGTGAGTGACGACTGTTTCTTTGCCGATCACAGCTTGAGCTTCAATTCATCCCTCTCCGCTTCCAGATCAAAACCATTAGGGTACTACGTCACACAGTCACCCCCGCTTCTGGATGCATCCAGCTCAGAGTGAAACTCCACTCCCTCGAGCCCTTCCCAGAGCTCCTAACAGCAGCCTGGAGCCCTCCCCAAGTCCTGCCCCACTGCTTCTCAGTTGCCCACGTTGCAACAGCACTAAAGCCAACTTTGTTCAGCTGGGTTTCTGGGGGTCTTTGCCTGGGAGGCACTGACCAAGGCTTAGAGAAGCTGCACACCAGGACCTGTTTTGTTCAGCCTATTTTGTGGTTGGCCCTGGAGCTGTGGGCCAGGGAGGTGTCGGCCTGTGATGAAATGTCACGGGGTGGGAGAGGGGCCCATCATCCCCATCTGTTCCCAGGAGGCTGAGTTTCAGGCTCTGGAGCTGGAGAACAGTTAACTCTTCGGTTAACTCCTGCGGTCCCGTCCACCGCAGCCTGAGTGTGAGCCCTGAGACCTCCACCCCCTCCATGGTGGGGCCTCTGAGTAGAGGGGACGGGAGAAGAGATAGGACACGTGGGTTCAGCTCTTGCCTCTGCCTCTCATTTGCATGTGACCTGAGCCTCGGTTTATCCATCTGGACAATGGGATGGGATGGGATAAAGGAGTCCCTTCCCAGGTAGGGTCACTTACCCAGCTCCTGGAATAAGCCTTCAGTGGTCAGGACAGAGACCTCCCCTTCTCCCCTTCAACTCCTGGTTCCTGAGGGTTAGCCAACCTTCCCTTCTAGGCTTGATGCCCACATCAAGGGGGGCACGGGGGCAAGAGAGGGGTGGGGGTCTTGTGTGTCTCCAGTCGCTGGACCCCTGGCTGCACAGAGAGGCGCATCACTGGAGCCTGCTCTGAAGGCTCAGGCCTCCTCTGCACCCCATCACCCCGTCACCCCGTCCCTCAGGTTCCCGAGCGCAGGGATCCCGTCCAAGGCAAACAGACGGGAGGATGGAGCCAGAGGTGGCACAGGAAGGGCCTCGGGGCTGAGCAGAGGGCGCCCTGGCAGCCGCGGTTGAGGGAGCCGGCTCTGCGGCTTCATTCAGCCCTGCATCCGGCTTCTCTGGAGAGGAGCGGACGTGGCCGCTCCCGTTCCGCGCCCCCCCCAACCCCCGGCCGGCAGGAGCAGAGGAGGGAGGAGGAGGCCGGAGCCCAGGACTGAGGCAAGCCACGGACAGTGACCTTTCCTGAAAGAGGCTGCGTGGCGCTGAGGTCAGGGGCATTTGCTTTCCCTCGAGCATGGGGCCTCTCATCTTCGTAGGCCTGTCTCTGGGGGGAGGCGGGGAGAGGGGAACCCATAAAGGCAGTCGGGGCACCGCTGTGGCCTCCCAGTTTCTCACTGTGGCCCCACCCCCACCCCCAAGACCTCCTGGCTGATTCTCTGGCTCCGCTCAGCACCTTCACAGACGTGTCTGCTGGATAATCGCTACACATCCTTCAGGCCTCAGTTTAAATATCACTTCCTCTTGGAAGCCTCCACTGCTTGAATCTCCTTGCGATGTACTCCGTGCCTCCTACTTCCTCCTCCCAACGTGGATCCTACTGCGTTGCAACCAACTTGTCGTTACCCTCCTGGAGGGTAAGGGGCAGCCTCTATGTTGTTCACAGTTGAATCCCCAGGGCCTGGAACGGGCCTGGCAGACTGTGAGTACCACATACATGTTTGATGGTAAATAAACACAGGCATGGAGATGTGGACTCTAGGGAACTTGAGTTGGGAGAGCCAGTGGTGGCAAAATTCTGAGTAGGGCTTTGAGAGTAGGTGTGCCCAAGATGAGGAGAGGGGGTGAAGCCTGGACGAAGCCTGCTGCTGAGTTTGGTCACTCAGTCGTGTCCGACTCTTTGCGACCCCATTGACTGTAGCCCGCCAGGCTCCTCTGTCCGTGGGATTCTTGAGGCAAGACTACTGGAGTGGGTTCCCATGCCCTCCTCCAGGGGATCTTCCCCACCCAGGGATCGAACCCAGGTGTCCTGCACTGCAGGCAGACTCTTTACCATCTGAGCTGCCAGGACACAGCCTGGGTGAGGGTAAAGAAATGCCCATGAAGGCAGAAGTGCAGGGATGCCTACACCAGGCCTCCTGGGATGTGTAATTTGGAACAACCCTCCTGCTGAGGACAACCAGAGTCCCTAGGTCCAATTCAAAAAGATCATCTTCTTAAGACCATCAAACAACTAACAAGAATTCCAAGGACTTCCCTGGTGGTCCAGTGGTAAAGAATCCACCTGCCAATGCAGGGGACGTGGGTTCAAAACTATGGAGAGTAGCCCCTGCTCTCCACAACTGGAGAAAGCCCACACACAGTGACAAAGACCCAGCACAGTCAGGAAGTGCATAAATAAATCAATCTTTTACAAAGAAAGAAATGGGACTTCCCTGATGGTCCACCGGTTAAGACTCCATACTCCCAATGCAGGGGGCCTGGGTTCGATCCCTGGTCAGGAAACTAAGATCCCACATGCCCGTGGTGCAGCCAAAAATAAAATTTTAAAAAGAAAGAAAGAAAAAAGAATTCCATAGTAAGAATCTCCAGAAGGCAAAAGTCCAGAGGGGAAAGCCCAGTCTGGAGATCCCGTTTGCCCTGAAATTAACTGCCAATCCGGAAGAATCAGCTTTGAAACTGAGCTCTTGTTGTGATGGCCTCAAGGGAGGCAGGGAAAGAGGAAGAATAAAAGGGAAACCTAGCTTTTTGCCCAAGACGGGAAGCCTGATACCCCACATCTTTAAGCAGAGACATCCTCAGAATAAGGTGAACCAGAAGAAAACCCAACCTTGAGCCCAGTCACCAGGATGACTCATGAAACTCAAGACCTGAATAACAGTGGCCGTGGATTAGCAGTGTCTTCAGGTGCTTGGTGGAAGCAAACAAAGCACTTATCTGGCTAGAGATGTCATCATCTTAGGCCTCGTGTTATTTTCATGAATAATTTTCAAATTATAATCTTAATAATTTCAAATTATTTCAAATTTGCAAATACAGTGAGTTGAACACAGTCAAAGATAACTGGGTACATAAGGAAATAAGACAAAGCCAGCAGAAACAGAGGCACTGTAAACAATAATTATGTAACATGGTAGAGGTGTTAACCAATACTAAGGTGGTAATTGCATTGCAATACATAAATGTATCAAACCAACATCTGGTACACCTTAAACTTGCATAATGTTAATGTCAATTATATTTCAATAAATTCTTAAAAATATGACAGACACAGACCACAATGACTTCAGATATTGGAATTTTCAAAAATTAAGGCCTCAGAATCACAGGTTCAAAGATCCTCATGGACAAACTCATTCTAGAATTCATTTGGAAATTCAAGGGACCCAGAACAGGAAAAAAAAAAAAAACCTTGAAAAATAGCAAATTTAGAAAACTCACACTTCCTAGCCTCAAAACTTACTACAAGGCCACAACAATCGAGACTGTAACACTGGCATAAGCACAGACGTTTAGACCCACAGAACAGAACTGAGAGCCCAGAAATAAACCATACACTATGGCCAATTGGTTTTTTACAAGGGTGCCAAAAAAATGCATGGGGAAATAGACTTCTCAACAAATAAAGGTGGGACAACTAGATTTTCCCATGCAAAAGAATGGAATTGGACTTCTATTTGACCCCATATTTCACATACACCATCCCCTCAAAATGGTCCAAAGTTTTAAATCTAAGAGAAAGAATTATAAAACTCTTAGAAGTAAACAAGAGTAGGGAATTCCCTGGCAGTCCAGTGGTTGGGACTTTGAGCTTCCAGTGCAGGGGGCACGGGTTTGATCCCTGGTTGGGGAACTGAAGTCACACAAGCCACGTGATGTGGCCAAAAAAAGAAGAAGAAAACAAGTGTGAATCTGTATAACCTTGGATATTTGACAATGGTTTCTTAGAAATGACGACTCAGCACAAGCAAAGAGAAAATAGAGAAATTGGACTTCATCAACATTTAAAACCTTTATACTTCAAAGGATACCATCAAAAAAATGAAAAGACAACCCACAGGATGGGAAAAAAAGTATTTGCAATTCAGATATCTCATAAGGGCCTACTATGTAGAATATATAAAGAATTCTTCCCTGTTAATGTTTGACAGAAAACAACAAAGTTCTATAAAGCAATTATCCTTTGATTAAAAATAAATTTTTTAAAAAAGAATTCTTACAGCACAAGAGTGAAATCGACAAACACCCCATTTAAAAAATGAGCAAGGGAACTGAATAGGTATTTCTCTAAAGATATATGAATGGCCAATAAATACATATTCAACATCATTAGTCATTAGGAAGATGTAAATCAAAACCACAAGGAGACACCATTTACACCCACTAAGATGGTTACAATAAAAAAGACAGACATTAACAAGGGTTGCAAGCCTGAAGAGAAACTGGAATCCTCATACATGGATGGTAAGAATATGAACTAGTGCAATCACTTTGGAAAAGAGTGGCAATTCCACAGAAAGCTACATGTGACCCAGCAGTCCCATTCCAACAGAGATACCCAAGAGAATAAAAAACATATGTTTACACAAAACTTCTACATGAATGTTTATAGCCACATTATTCGTAATATCCAAAAAGTGGATACAACCTAAATGGTATAGTCATACAGTGGAATATTATTCAGCCATGAAAAGGAACATAACACTGATACCACTGTGAATGAGCCTTGAAAACATTATGTTAAATGAAAGATGCCAAATGCAAAACTGCACGTTCCCATTTTTTTACGAAATGTCCCAAATAGGGAAGGTCGTAGAGATAAAAACCAGTTTATGCTGTGCTTAGTTGCTCAGCCATGTCCAACGATTTGCGACCCCACGGACTGTAGCCCGCCAGGCTCCTCTGTTCATGGGGGTTCTCCAGGCAAGAATACTGGAGCGGGTTACCATGCCCTCCTCCAGCGGATCTTCCCAACCCAGGGATGGAGCTTGAGTCTCTTATGTCTAACCTGCATTGGCAGGTGGGTTCTTCACCACTAGTCCCACCCGGGAAGCCCAAACAGGACCTAATTAAACATAAACGATAGATAGGGAAAAAATGGAAACAGTGAAAGACTTTATTTTCTTGGGCTCCAAAATCACTTCAGACAGGGACTGCAGCCATGAAATTAAAAGACACTTGCTCCTTGGAAGAAAAGTGATGACAAACCTAGACAGTGTATTAAAAATCAGAGACATTACTTTGCCAACAAAGGTCTGTCTAGTCAAAGCTATGGTTTTTCCAGTAGTCATTAGTCATGTATGGATGTGAGAGTTGGACTATAAAAAAAGCTGAGCACCGAAGAATTGATGCTTTTGAACTATGGTGTTGGAGAAGACTCTTGAGAGTCCCTTGGACTACAAGGAGATCCAACCAGTCCATCCTAAAGGAAATCAGTCCTGAATATTCATTGGAAGGACTGATGCTGAAGCTGAAGCTCCAGTAGTTTCACCACCTGATGTGAAGAGCTGACTCTTTGGAAAAGACCCTCAGGCTGTGAAAGACTGAGGGCAGGAAGAGAAGGGGATGACAGAGGATGAGATGGTTGGATGGCATCATTGACTCAATGAACATGAGTTTGAGCAAACTCCAGGAGATAGTGAGGGACAGAGAAGCCTGATGTGCTGCAGTCCATGGGGTCACAAAGAGTCAGACATGACTGAGAGACTGAACAACAGCAAAGCATAAAAACTTTTGCAGAGCAAAGGAAACCATCAACAAAACAAAAACTTCAACTTTACTGAATGGGAGAAAATATTTGCAAATGATATGACAGATGAGGAGTTGATATCCAAAATATATAAACAGCTCATACAGCTCAACATTAAAAAAAGAAAAACCTGATTTAGGCAGAAGAAGAGGAAGGGCAGATAGCCAACCGCACGTGAAAAGATGGTCATCATTGGGGAAATAAAAATCAAAACCACAATGAGATATCACCTCACTCCTTTCAGAATGATGATCATCAAACAGAGCACAAAAAACAAATGCTGGTGAGAATGTGGGGAAAAGGGAACCCTCACACACGGTTGGTTAGAATGTAAGTTGGTACAGCCAATGTGGAGAATGGTAGGGAGGTTTCTCAAAACACTAAGAATAGATCAGATGATCCAGCAATTCCACTCCTAGCTATGTATCAAGAAAAAAATTAAACCGCTAATTTGTAAAGATATATGCCTCC